CACTTAATGCTTATCAAAACCATAGGAGCCATACCATACTACAATACGCAGTCCTTCCACAGTCACACAACCATTTTTGGTACAACCTAACTCATCATATAGATTCCTATGAGCCAAGTCGTAGACTTACCACACTTCCACACCCTTCTATCAATCTAGTGAAATCTATGACTTCCCCACAATCTCACATCACTTCCACAACTGCAATGGGACCAGCCCATGGTTATTTCCGACCACCTACAAGAACACCTAATCAAAGATCAATATGAGCCAAATCCCAGCCTACTGAACCTTATCAGGTGTTCGGGTTATGATTCGACCCCTAGAGACTTCAATAGACAAGAACAGGCAGAGAGGTCCTAACACAAACCTCAACCTGAACCTAGCCATGGATCCAAAATGTGTCCCTATCTCTGTTTCACTTTCCCGAACGAGATAACTCAAATCCTTAATCTCTAACTCCCTTATTACTCCTAGAAACCAACTTTCCTCTTGTCCTTAGATATGAACTCCAAGTTAATACGCACTTTAAATATTTTTGATAATCCCAAACGGTTCTCCCCTTCTTGGAATTAACCACTTCTTAATGATGTGAGTTTTCCTCACTTTACTCGTGGGTTGAAGGCATTAATACAAGCCCACTAAATTGTGTATCCTGGTATATAGGATGTTGTTATGATGTAGTGATCTGTTAGATCTTTATCCTGGTATATAGGATGTTATTCGGTAGTGATCTGTAGATCTGTTTGTTTGTCTGCTGACTGGTTATATGATTATTTGTAGTTGGAACTATGTTGTTTGCTATGTATATGTCAACATGTTATGATTTCAGGTTGATGCTTTATTGTTATGTGCGTGAGCCAATAGACCGAGGATTTTCCAATCCGACGACTGTGTGGAGCGAGGGTACTCCAGTCTTATGATTGAGTGGACCCGTTGCATATTGGTATTCCAGTCTGATGACTGAGTGGGTCGAGGTATTCCAATTTGATGACTGATCGGGTCGGGGGTAATCCAGCTCGATGGTTGTGGACCTGTGGGTATTCTAGTTCGATGACTGGTTGGACCCAACATGCATGATTGTATATGATATTTGTTTGTGTGGTGGTATTTTGAGGGAGATCACTAACCTTATTGCTTACAATTTCAGTTTTATGTTTCAGGTACTTTGGATGACCAAGGTTAGGCGAAGGCGTGATCGTGCATATCCTTCTGGTTTTATGATTTTGGATTTTAGGGATACTCGGATTTTGATTATTACTTTTGAAAACAATGTTCTGTAAACAATTATGGTCTCTGGATTGGTTTTGAAAAATTAAAAAGTTTACCCTAATTTTTGAGATGTTACATATATTGATTAATGGACTCTTATAAAAGAAAACAAAGTGTGAGATAAAGATATAAATAGTTGCAACATAATTGTTACGTGAATAATAGCCTTTCACCGAAAGAATCAAGTATATGACTAGTGCTCGGAAAAAAAATGGTAAAGAACTTTGATATCAAACCATGGATGTTATGTGGTTGATTTGGTTTTCTCATATGGTAAAGTTGATGTGTAGTAGACTAGCCGAAATCATTGATTAGAATTTACAAATTTCCTAAAGATATATGTTGGGAAAAGGTAAGTTTCTCCCATATGAAACCTTTTACGAGTAATTAATTATAGTGATTCTTTGTACATAATAGGCATACCAATTGCAAGTATTTAAGTTTAATATATTCTTATAATCTTATGGGAAATCTCCAATAAAGTCCTAAAATTTTAGTCTGATTTATGTTTTAGTCCTAAACTAATTTTTGTTTACGAAAAAGTCTCAAAAACCGACAAAAGTTTACATTTTGATCATTTTTGATTGGTTGGAACCAGTAATAAATTAATTTGGGACTATTTCATAAATTGTCCCAAAATATTGGGACTTTTCTGCAAAAACAAAAAATATTAGGGTTTTTCTGCAAACAAAAACCTTATTATTATTATTATTATTATTATTATTATTATTATTATTATTATTATTATTATTATTATTATTATATTAAGAATATAAATAAGTATACTATTTTTTAAATTTGTTATTATTAATATTGTTAATAATACATATAAATATATTTAAATTAAAAAAATATTAAAGACATTTTATAAAGGTGAAGGTTGAGCAGATGGTAATGCTTTAAGCTTTGAAATCATAAATGTTTATTTGTATATTCTAACTTTGTATATGGCCATTTCACATTTGTTATTATTGTTTTTAATTCAGAATATTAACATTTAACAATTTAAAAGAAGCTATTGGTTTTTCAAATTGTTTACTAATAGTGAGCGTGTAATATGTGTGTGTGTCTTGTGTATAAGTATTTGAATTACCGACATGTGTGTTGCTCTTTTTCATTACTTTATCCTTGTGGTTTTTTTGGAAACAGAGCAAATATAATGTGATAAAGCACAACAAGCCATACTACTTTCTATTAAACAAGATATTTTAATTAATATTTTCGAATTTTGATACGGCCACCAATGTAAATATTTATTGTGGGTCAGTTGGATTTGAAAAGAAATCATTCTACCTTAAGAAATTTTATATACAAAGTGAGAAATCATTTTATCTTAAACAATTTGTACACAATTTTACAAATAGGCAACTTCTTTAAATTGTTAAGTGTTAATATTTTGAATTGAAAACAATAATAAGAAATGTGAAATGATCATATACAAAGTGAGGACATACAAACAGATATTCATGATTTCAATGCTTAAAGTATTATCATCACCACCACCTTCATCTTTAAATAATTTCTCTAATATATTTTTTTATTTAAATTTATTTATATGTATTATTAAAAATATTAATACTAATGAATTTAAAAATTAGCATAGTTGTTTATATTTTTAATATAATAATAATAATAATAATAATAATAATAATAATAATAATAATAATGTTTTTATTTGCAGAAATGTCCTAATATTTTTTTGTAGAAAAGTCCCGATATTTTGGGTCATTTTGTGAAATAGTCTAAATATTTTAGGTCAGTTAATAAAATAGTTCCAAATTAATTTGTTGTCGGTTCCAACCGATCAAAAAGGGTCAAATGCATACTTTTGCTAGTTTTTAGGATTTTTTCGTAAACAAAAATTAATTTATAACTAAAACGTAAACCGAACCAAAATTTTAGAACTTTATTGGAGAATTCCCTAATCTTATTAGAGAAGGTCGTAGAAAGTTGTGATATTACGGCTTATTGGCCAAACGGTAAAAAGAAAAACTCAAGTATCCAAATTCCCTTTGTTATAGAAATTTTGGTCACACAAATATAAGGACCACTTGGGTCTACGCGGACATTGACTTATGACTTCAAACGTGAAGGAACTTTCCATATGTGGTTAGCAACTTTTTAACTAAAAAATTACTCAGTAATTATAATATTTAAAGTAATTACTTTATCTATCCTAATAAATAATAAAATATTTTTATCATTTATTATTTTCTCAAAAATTTTATCACACGTCATTATGTGATGACATGAGTTTTTAAATTACTTCAATTCTACACGTTATTATTTGGTATTTTTATTTTTTTGTTAATAAAAAATTAATCAATTCCAATAATTAACACCTCTATTATTATATATGTAAAATATTTGTTATATTAAATGTGTAGATCAACACTACAATTAATAAAATATTTATTATTTAAAATAAATATATTTTTTCCATAAAATGAATATAATAATAAATAGTTTGTTTGTTCCACCACTAAAAACATTTATTGTGATTTTTTTGTTATATAATTATAATAATGAAATATTATAAAACAATATTATTAAAATCGAGATACAACAAAATATATTTTGTTAAACTTTGAAAATAAAATAACAATTACAATATTTAATGTTTACACCATGATATAAAGTTTTTATTTCTAATAAACTCGTATAATACATGAATCTTGCACTAGTTTCAAAGATATGATCACTTGCTACCATTGACCTATAAAAAATCATATTAAATAATAAGAATATAATTCTAAGCAAAACATATCTTGTCATTTGTACGAAGTTTTATAGCACTTTTACTTATATGACTAGGGTAACCCACGAAGGATAAATAATGGGGCAATAAAGCTTTTTTTTTTGTTTGTTAAATGTGTCTCAAAAGTCAAAAACCACTATCTATCTTTTTTTCTTTTTCTTTTTTATATTACTAGTTGTGTGACCCGTATGTTATACGGGTTGAATAAAACAAAAAAAATTAAATATGAAGGTTTAAACAAAATTTTATATAAATTTGAAATTTAAAATTTAAAATTTAAAATTTGAATTTAAAAGGAAACATATTTAATAGTATATGAGTTATAATATTATAATTTAATGGTTAGTTTTAAATAAGATAATTATTAATTGAGATGTAAATATGATGTGTTAATTAAAAAAGATAAACAATGAGAAAATGACACATGGAAAAAACATTTATTCAAAAATACCAAAAAATGACATGTGTCCAAGTTAATGAGAAAGTGATATGTGGCAAAACTATTTTCATTTATTAGGGAGGATGTTTAGTTTAAAAAAATTTCACTTACTATTCTGTATCTTTCTTTATATATATATATATATATATATATATATATATATATATATATATATATATATATATATAAAGAGAGAGAGAGAGAGTTTGGTGATATCGATTTCTCAATATGTATACAATTTGCTTAAAATCATGTTTGACACGAAGCTTTTGAAAACGTTTGAAAAATTCTAGTTTTTAGCTTTTGATAAAACGCTCTAGTTTAAATAAAAAGTTTCATTTGGTAGTACAAGCGTTTAGCTTTTAGTTTTAAAAAAAAAAGCTCTGACTCTAAAAGCTACTTCATGTAGCGTTTAACAAAACGCTCCTGAGCTTTTAAAATTAATTTTCATAATTACCTTAAAAATATATTTATATATTTATTTATTTTTAATCAATTATCCTTTTTATGTAATTTTATATATGTCAAAAGCTTCCAACTACTTTTACCAAACATTCATATAACAAATAAAAGCTACAGTATCCCGCTAACAGCTACTTTTACCAAACACGTCCTAAACCAAATCATGTACTTAAATTTCTCATTTTTACTACGTTTTCCTACTTTTTGTTGTAAATGGGCTGTGGTGTTGGCCCAGACCAAATCATGTGCTATAGAAGCTAAATCTCATCATTGCAAGTAATGATAGATGATGCAATATATCTTCTTTTAATGGATTTTCACATTATGTATGTTTCAAGATGATTTTGCTAGAATCAATAACTACTACAAGTATTGTGTTCAATAGTTGGATCAAACTTCTAACCAAAATAGTTGAAATCAAGCTGTTGCCTCAACTCCATTGCTAACTGGTAGTGCAGTTGCAGTTTCCATTTTACCAGTTGCTTCTTCTTCTTCTTCATTCTTCATCTGTATCTCTTCTTCTGTATCACTATCATCAAAATCCTCATCAAAATCTCCACCACCTCCCATGTTAAGTTTCTGCATCATCAAACTGTCAGTTAGACTCTTGAAAAAATTGCAATCAATCATTTCAATTGTGTGGATTTTAAGGAAGTTGTACTTACTGAGAAATCCATGTCACCAAACTCCATATCACCTCCACCTGCATAATCAATCGATGAATCAATATCATATTTCATTGGAGTCGCACATTGTTGGTATTTTTGTGATTATAAAAAAGGAACAAAATGAAATATAAAACTAACCATTTTCCTCCTGTTCATCTTCGTCTACCCATTTATCCCAATCGCATTTCACAAACATTGGAGTCTTTCCCTCTTCTTTCAAAAGCCTGTTCCACCATTTACTTTCTTCCTTCTTTATAAGGTAAACAATAGTTCTTGGTCCAACACTTGCCTTGCTCTCCTGCAATTTTTATTTGATTAATTAGTTATCATTTTGATTTTGGTTTAACAAACAAAACATAATTTGTAAAAGCAAAACACTTTTCACTTACATTCACGTCCACCTTATCATGAAGGTTGATGTCTATTTCATAAGCTAAATTCTCAGAACCGGCAGTAGCAGAGAAGTAGAATTTACCCTCAGGCTCCAATTTGAGCTTCACGTTTTTGGCATCAGGTAGATCAATGGTGATGAAGAGCACATCAGCCCTCTGCGCCCACTTTAAGGTTGGATGTCGGCTAATCAACAAATAGAAACAGAACAAGATTAGAAAGGTAAATAGTTTTTAGTTTTTACACATTGCAAATTCATTTGGCAACAGAATAAACAATTCATTTTTGTTAAACTAGCTTTGCACGGATTACAAAAACTATGAAGAATGCAGATCCTATCAGAAGAAAGGAACACACATTATAATTTATAAGATACTAAAACCCTAAAACTGAAGCCAGATTTTATTACCTCTCTATAACTTTCAACGGAGCTAGAAATTTAATCTGCTACGATTTCGTTAATAACAGGATTAAAAAAAACTCGTTGCTAAAACAAGCATGCATGTATGATCGTGAATTCATGATTATGGTTTATGTCGGCTCAAATTCCTCCATTCGGATGTATAGTTAGGAATAATAGCATAAGATTAAGAACCGTAATAACCATACCGCAACTCATTGATTGATCTAGGTAGATTATTGAACCAAATGAATTTTTTTTTAAAATCACCGAAAAATCGTCAAATTCAAAACAACCTACTCAATTTACACTAATGACGATCATGCGATGCATTGAATCATCAAATTAAGAGTAGTTCTACAATTTCATTTCAAACTAACACAGAGATAATGAATCAATCCCAATTCACAATTTATTCATCAAATCGAGTGCATCATGTAGCATATTATAGTAATTTAAGAAGGAAAACAGAAAACGAACAGAATTCATACCTCATTTTGATTGATTTTCGCAGTTTCTAACTGTAAAGATAATCCTTTGAGAGTGATCTATGATCTACGCTTTACGATTGGATATGGAAACTGCAAATGATTTACTCGGGTATTTATAGCGATGGTGGGGATAGAAGAAGGCCGTGGCATCTAGATGCTTCCGGACTCTTTTTATTATTCAACATAAAATAAAATTCTAGACCTTAATAATTATTTAAATATTTAAATATCCGTTTCTAGACATTAGTAATATTTAAATATCAGCCCTTTTAACAAATGACATTACTAGAAAAAATCTGTTTATAGTTATAAGTTTATATTAATATTAAATATTGATAGAATATTTAATAGGTGTCTTTAATGATGATTTTTATTTTTATACAAGAATGACTTAATTTGTTGTTTTTCTTTGAACAACGCGATATTTTAAACTTGAAGCATATAAGATTCAAATATAAATCAATTTCATTTCTAAACATTTCATAGTAAGGTTGACTGTGATATAGTTAACTTGTTAATAAAATGTAATAATACAAAAAACATATATATTAGCAATTTATATAATTTTTTAGAATAACCATTTTATTAAAACTACGAATGACTAACGGATAACTGACAGAAATACTTAAAAGAACAAGAAAAATGCAAGAAAGAAATTTTAAAAAAAATACAAAAGAGAATACGAAAAATACAAGAAAGAAATACAAAATCAATGTATGAGATAATATCAAGACCGAGATAACTACCGAATATCGCTTTCGTATTTTTTGTACTTATGACGTGTATTAATGATTTTTTTAGACCAAAGACTCAATTAAATTGTTTAAATAATGTAATAACACAAACAAAATTATTAGTAAAACTTGTGAAATCCATCAAGATTAATTAGTTTTAAACCTAAAATGGGTATTTTTGTATGATTGAGCTTGAACAACCGAGAAACAACACCCCACAATCAATTATGCTATGAAAATAACTATGAAGTTGTTTGGTAGGATATGAATTTTTAAGATCTGAATTTTTAAGATATCTGAATTTCTAAGATAGTCTGAATTTGTAAAGCCTGAATTTATAACATAATGTTTGGTTAGATCATCTGAATTATTGTGCTGAATTATAAAAATGATCATTTTACCCTTTTGTATTATTCTCAATTCAATGTTTCTGTTTTATATAATAACATAACCAACTTTTTAAATTATCATAAAATATATATAAACAACATACAAAAACTTAAAAACATGATAACGAATTCCATTATATTGATCAAAATATACAAATCTAGAAACATTTACAAGAAAAAAAAAATTAAACTATCGAATTCCCAAAGGAAAAGAAAACATGTACTATATGAAAAACAACAAATGGACTTCCAAGGTATCTATACTGTTTTCATCATTACATCAATCATTCCCTTCAATAGCCCTTCCATTTTTACATTTCAACCTGAAGATCCAAATTCTATAAGGAAACAAATGGGCTCAATGGAAATTTATACAATCATTAATGGAGGTATTTTCATTGACTTCAAAATTGAATTGATTCATCAAAAACTAAAAATTATTAGATTGTAGTGGAAAATCCATATGAAATTTGTAAGATTCCAATCAAACCAATAATCCAAATGAAGAAAAACAAAAATTGTCCCATGGATGTTAGGAACTGCAAGGCTTGTCCAACCATATATGTTACTTTGGATATACAACAACAGTACTATGAAATTTGTTTAGTTTGAATATACAGCTACAGTGCTATGAAATTTGTTTAGTTGCAAACTACAACGTAACTCTTCATTCTCATATAAATTATTGGATTAAAGAAATACATGATGCAAACTCAAACTAATTGCATCTAGACATATGCAATATCTACCAAAACTCGTTTGTTTGACTGAAAAAGTCAATGATATTGTAACAAATCAACATAATTTCAGCTATGAATTTCAAGTATCAGAACAATCTACATACAATTTTAACATGGAAAACTTGATTGTCAGAGAAAGAACAAACCACATAAAAAAAATCCCTAATATCTTGAACTCGATTTTCATAGGAAGAGGAAAAGAAAATAGCACCCAATAATAATCAATTTTCAAAGGGAGGAGGAAATTAACAATAAAAAATACAAGCAACACATTCCAGAAAAAAATCTCCAACTCTTTGAGTTTTGTGGGAAAGAAGAGGAAGAAACTCTTACCTAGAACCGAAAACTTGATTACTTTGACGAAAGGAGCCGACGATAGAGGGGGAGGCGTCGCCGTTGGAAGGAGGTAGCTCGGAGAAGTGGACGCGAAGGGGAAGTGGGCGTTGTTCTGGTGAAGGCAAAGGAAATTAACGAGCGTTCATATGGCACAAAAGGAAAGACGCGTTATTTTTTAAGTTTAGACTTGGTTTCACATCTAAAAGTTTAAGAGGTAATTAGAAAATTAAGATGTAAAAAATAAGATCCTAACTAACAAACAAGCTGAATCTGAATTTTTAAAAGTCTGACTCTTAATTTTCCAATTAAAAGGTACGTTAAGAAGAGCCTGTCCTGAGAATATATCAGGCTAAGGGTATTTTCGAAAACCAAAAATGGGTATATCTATAAATAACTAGAGAAATTATAAAAACCTAAGAATATAAAAAATAAAAACCTTATCAGATTTCTTATAAATTCAAACTCTTTCCTTTATGCTTTTTGAGCTTATATCTGAACGTGAATTTAACTTAAACTTGATAAAGTTCGACTCAATCAAGCAACAAATTCGAATTCAATTTAATGATTTATTCAGATAAAGCCCGAATAGTTTATAAATGTAAAGGGATGATATCCACATTTATACAAGTTAGGAGGGTTAATGTGTTTAAAATCCATAATTAATGGGGTCAAATTTAAATGATATAATCAAACAAATATTCTTCTTGCAAATATTTTTCCGGTGAGATGGCCGCCACCGTCGAGCCGTTACTGCAAAAGTGCGCCACCCTCTCCCACATCAAACAACTCCAAGCTCACCTCATAACCACCGGTGTTTTCCAATTCCACCCTTCTCCTCGTTCCAAGTTTCTTGAATTTTGCGCCACCTCCTCTGCCGCTGGAAGCCTCCTCTACGCTGCTGACATTTTCCGTCACATAGCCTCCCCAGTCACCAACGACTGGAACGCCGTCATACGCGGCCTCGCCCAGAGCCATCAACCAACCGACGCCGTCACCTTTTACCGCCAAGGCTTGCGCATGCTCACGTGCAAGCCGGACGCTCTCACCTGCTCTTTCACCCTCAAAGCCTGCGCTCGAGCGTTAGCTTGTAACGAAGCTAACCAAATCCATTCGCAAGTGGTTCGATTTGGGTTCATAGCAGACATTCTACTGCAAACAACCTTGCTGGATGTCTATGCAAAATCCGGTTATTTAGACAATGCACACAAACTGTTCGATGAAATGTCTAAAAAAGATGTCACATGTTGGAACGCAATGATCTCTGGGTTGGCTCAAGGGAACCAACCCAACGAAGCATTGCAACTCTTTACAAGAATGCGAGATCTCAGATTCAAGCCCAACGAGATCACGGTTCTTGGCGCCCTCTCAGCCTGTGCCCAACTGGGCGTAGTACGCGAGGGCGAGAACATATACAGTTACATAAAAAACCAAAACCTCGACACAAACGAGCAAGTTTGCAATGTTGTAATTGACATGTTTGGTAAATGTGGGTATGTCACAAAAGCTTACCAAGTTTTCAATTCCATGAAGTGCACAAGAACTCTTGTTACATGGAACACTATGATCATGGTCTTGGCAACAAATGGAGAATCCCTCGAAGCACTTAAATTGTTCGATCAAATGAGTAAAGAAAGATTCCGACCCGATAACGTGAGTTATCTTGCGGCTCTTTGTGCTTGTAATCACGCGGGAATGGTGGAAAATGGGGTCGAATTGTTTGAAAAAATGACTAAAGATGTCTCGGTTGTTCCTAATATCAAGCACTATGGTACTATGGTTGATTTATTAGGGAGATCGGGTCGATTACACGAAGCTTACAATGTCATTGATTCGATACCAATAAAACCCGATGTTATTCTTTGGCAAACTTTGTTAGGTGCTTGTAAGACGTATGGGAATGTAGAAATGGCGGAAAAGGCGTCAAGAAAGCTAGTTGAAATGGGGTCAAGTAGTGATGGGGATTTCGTGTTGCTATCAAATATATACGCGGCTCAACGTAGATGGAAAGATGTGGGAATCGTGAGGGACACGATGAGAAATAAAGAAGTTAAGAAGGTTCCAGGGTTTAGTTACATTGATGTTGACGGTGTGATACATAAGTTTGTGAATGGAGATAGGAGTCATTTGAATTTGGAAGAGATTTATAGGAAGATTGAGGAGATTATGGGTCGGATTATGGAATACGGATATGTTGCGGATACAGGTTATGTGTTACATGATATAGGGTTAGAGGAGAAAGAAAACGCTCTGAGTTATCATAGCGAGAAGTTAGCAGTCGCATTTGGGTTGATTAAAATGAGCAATGAAAGCAATCCGATACGCATCAACAAGAATTTGAGGATATGTGGGGATTGTCATGAGGTCATGAAGCTTGTTTCAAAGGTTTATAAACGTGAGATTATCGTAAGAGATAGGACTCGTTTTCATAACTTTAAAAACGGATCATGTTCATGTAAAGATTATTGGTAGACTTTGGAAGCTAAATCGTTTGTTAAACATTGCAATTTAGTCAACAATAAAAGCTAAACATGTCAAAAGAATAATAGAACAATAGTTACAAATCGGCTAAGACTACACAAAACATCCCAATAACAAGTTACAAATCATTGTTACATCGTTAGGTCAAAAGAATCGAACACTAATCAAGTGATGAAAATTGATAAAACCAACCAACCACAATCAAAGAACAGGAATACAATGGAGTAATTAACAAACTTGACTAGTCTTTTGATAATTTAGCTTCAAATCCACCTTCGGGACGCTTTACAAGATCATATGGCATATAGGTTCCAAGAATCTTGTCCCAAATAGGGAAAAAAGGTTGAGAGAAATTGTACTTTAATCCATGGAGTTGATGATGAATGTCATGATACGCCGTATTGTTTTGGAAGAAGAAATGAAAAAGATTACCAGGCAACCAGAGTCCACAATGATCATCCACAGTTTTTACCACAGCAAAACAGAAGAAGATAACCGCAGTTCTTGCAGTCATTCCTGATACAAGAAAAGAGAGGGCCCCACCAACTGTATCTAGAAGAAGACCCTCGAGTGGGTGGTTGTAAAGAGCCCCAATTGCATAAGGGACAACTAGTTTATGGTGTTGAGAATGAATATGGCGATATAGGAATTTGTTTATGTGCATGTATCGATGCACGAAATACTGCCATGTGTCCATTACAAACATCGCGATCATGATCTGGATAAGTTGAATGAAAAGAGATGGTTGAACTTCTGTCCCAACTAAGCCTGTTTCTGAGGTTACCTAAATACAAAAATTGCACAAGATTTTAGGCATCAAGAAATGATATTAGAGTGTTTATATGTATTTAATGTTGAAACTTGAAAGAGTAACATATATGAACAACTTTTGGGACAGATATATAGCTCTTATTCTCAACACCAATCTTGAAAATCAGAAGTAAAATCTCATATGCCTATCAAATCAAACAACCCTAATAATGGGAAACAAAAAAAAAGGAAGTGGAAGTGGAAGTGGAAGTGGTGTTACCAAAAACAGGATGTGAGCAACGATTGCCTGAACTAGCTGTTGGAGCAAAACACCCTTGATGACGGAGCTCAATGGCACTGAGTTCTTGGCATCTTCTTCTTTCCTTGTGTGCAATCGATAATTATCTAGAGGGGGGAGTAACTGAAAAAACCCAGCGTACAACCAGTAAACCACAATTGGGGCAAATGTACCCATCACTTCATCACTCACATACCCTTCCCAAAACACCATTACTGTAAAATTGAAGAAAATCGCACTCCTTAAACCCTAACTACAACCTGATCCTATATCAAAACCAACTACTTCCGCACCTGCGTGTGAGTATGAGAATTACAAATACGACCTGAAGAAATTGTGAGAAACCAGATTTAGGTCAAATCTTCGGTTACTGATCGAACTGAGACAAGATACACTGTGATAAACCAGATTTTGAATCAGATCTGCAGTGGTGGCTCCGACAGCTGTAGAAGTTGTAATCTTGTTTGTGGATTCGCTGGAGTCGAATAAACCATTGGCTTCGCTTGCCCTTTTTTTGAATAAAAGTTAAACAAGGCTGCCGTATGAGGTTTTACTTTTAAACAAATCAATTGTTTTGGTTTAACTTTTAACTTGAAGCAAATTACTTAAAAACCCATTATATTTTGACAATTTTTCTAATTCAACCCTTTATTTTTTTAATTTTGCTAAAAAAAATTATCCAATTTTGAGCAAAAGTATCACCACGATCACTCTCACTTGTTAGAGTCGGTCACACTAGTAATCTTTGATTATGTGGATTTTAATTATTGAGGTGGCTTTTATTCTTATTTTTGTGTTTTCGTATCTAAAACTCAAAACCAAAGAAATCGAAGTCTTCCCAATTAAGTGTGATTTTGAATAGTAACTTGATCAATCAAGTTGTGGTGTACTTTCTGATCAGTAGTGGTGAAAGTTTACAAGCTTCTTCCAAATCATGGTTAGTGTTTCATATAATCGAGCAATCATGTACTTATTGTTTCATATAATCAATCAATCGTGAACTTAAGGTTTTAAACATTCGATAGTATCAAATAATATCGCTTCAAGTTTTGTGTTTTAGACAAATGTTTATTTAGGGTTTTATCTCTATTCCTTATGCTCTCATAAAGTCAAAATCAATAATATTTTTATTGTCCTTTGTTATAAAATGTCAAGTAGGTGAAATGGCCTCCGCTTTAAATAAACGATATTTAAGTAGTGATGGTGATAGTGATATTGATAATAATGTTGGCCTCAGTGACAATGAATGTTTGGATCTCACTATAACTCATGTTCCGATATTCTTGGAGTTGAGGAAGGACCAATTGGTTCACTAAGTATAAAACAAACTAAAATGGAATATCCTGGTGATAATGATGATCTAGGACTTGGGGTTGGGTTATTGTCCATAATCTTATGACTAAATGGAGTTTTATGAAGCCAATAGAAAAAGAAACCTATGAAATCTTGGAACAACTAAGTCTACTTTGGCAAATTATAGGTGGCAAACGAATATCCTCTTCGATTCATAATATGTGACAGCAAAAGGATGCAAATTAATGTGGTAAAGCAACCGAATGGAAAACATATGTGACAGCAAAAGGATGCAAATTAATGTGGTAAAGCAACCGAATGGAAAACATATGTGACAGCAAAAGGATGCAAATTAATGTGGTAAAGCAACCGAGTGGAAAACATGTAATCTTTCCAAATAAAGAAGATTTGTAACGTCCCATTTTCACAACAAAAAAATTTCATTTTAATTAAGGTAAAACTTCACAATTATAAAATTCATGTTAAGAAAACTATTTGGTCAAAAATTACGTTTGTTGAAAATCAGGGTAATATAATAAATATGGAATCCTCAATGCTGCTAGTGAGTGGGTGTAGTCACGTCTTCGCCTTCCCACGATCACCGATAATACCTAAAAACATAAACAACTGGGTAAACACAAATTATAGTGAATTCCTTGAAAATACCACACGCCAAAAAAATATATACAAGCATGTATATTGGGGCCACAGTCATCGGACCCGGTTGCCCCAGGTATCTTGGCTTGTCGCCTCAACCCAACCACTTATCCCAAGCCTCATGCCTACAGCTTATAGCTGACCGGCACCTGGTATCTTGGCCTACAGCACAAAGCAGGACCGCTTTAACCTAACCCACCACCATATGTCGACATATAAACAAACAAGAAATCAAGTAGGCACATAAGCACATGCAACTATAAATCTACCTATCGAACGGTCCATTGCTGCTTACTAGGCTCCTCACAGCACACTGCTTAATTACTAGTAAATCTCCAGGGAATACATAACCATATACAACCAGATGTGGGACAGACACCTGAACAGATGATCTTACTATAGAGCCATAACCAAACAGGGAACATGAAAGAGAGACTAGATCAAAAGTTCTCAAGCTATCCTATGTAGCTACATACAGCCCCTAAGGCACCCCACTAGACGATAACCAGCCTACTAGTACTCTAACCAATATACCACTGCTCCTATATCGTAACATACAAGGATATATATATATATATATATATATACACACACACACACACACATATATATATATATATATAACAAATAATAGCACAACAACATCTTATACACAAGGATAAATAACAATAATCTAATGGGCCGACATTGGTACCTTTGACCCACATGTATAGAAAGGAAATTCACCTGATTCGGAGAGCTTAGAAACACTACGACACACTCCCTTTCTGCACAGATTACTCCCACGAACCTACTAGCACCAAAATATGGTAAACCCTTAATTAAAATCCCAAAACCTTCAAGTTTGATCCTATGTCAAATTTGTTGGATTAGTGTCTAAGTCCATAACTATTTTGGTATGTATTTGACCTGATTGTGAGCATGGTCATTTTGGGTTACCTTCACACTAGTGACTAGACAGGATGACTGTTGAGGAGAGAGGTTGGTTTATTGTTAAGAATAATAAATTGGGGTAAAAATGTGATTTTTTTTAATATATTATATGAATAATATATTAATTTGGAATCATATTATTAATTAGTATTTTAATCAGAAATTAATTAGGAATTAATTTCGGGATGAAAGGAATTAATTAAAAAAAACAGGGGTTGTTTTGTAATTATTTGATAGTTGAGACTTTGGGCTATTGGATCACCTTTATTAAGGCTTGAACGGAAACCCTAGAAGGATCTAGGAGTTTTTGTCCAATGGCTTAAGGAAATGAGTTCATGGACTTGCTTAGGCCCTAAGCTAAGGGATTAGGGTTTCCACCTTGAAACCCTAGCTAGCCTCAAGTATAAATAGCACCCTAAGGCACTAGAATTCGACCATCCCTTGGGAAAACCCTACTAAGTCCGAATTTTGGAGCTTAGTACCTTTCCTCCTCTCTCTCATATTTATCCTCTCACTCAAAGTATGTTTGTGAGCCATTAGAGGTACTACACCTGTGGTACTTGCTTTCAAGAGTTAAGGAAACTCAACGAATTAGTTATTATTACTATATAACAACAAAAGATATGTGTTCTATTCTCTTATGTCAATTTCGAAAATAGTAGATGCATGATAGGTTTCCTTTTGTGTTCATAATGTTGTATGACTAATAGTGAAAACATAGATTCGTATCTAGGGTTGCATGCACACATAAGATTGTTTGTATAAAACCCATCAGTGGTAGCAAAGCCTTTGGTTTTTGTTTTCAATTAGATTTGATACAAATGTATGAATTTGAAAAATTAGGGTTTATAGCTAATAAACCATATGGGTTGGATTTTCGAAATTAGGGTTACAAAACCCTAGTTTTCGAATTGTATCAGGGTTTCCCAAACCCTTTCCTTAGCCACCAAGATTTTGAAATTAGGGTTGTCTAACTCTAGGATTTCGAAATTTTCTTTGTCCGCATGATAAGATTCCCAAAATTTAGGGGTTTGGATAATGTCATATCTTGTAATTATCCCTTAATTGTTTAAATAGATAATTAAAGATCTTTTGAATCATTCCATCCAAAATTTTCGAATTTTAGGGGATAAAGGCATTAGGTTAAAATTAATTGTTTAATTTAATAGATTATCCTCCAATATTTAATAATTTAAATTAATTGTTTAATTGAGATAATTATTAAATCAAAGTTTTGATATTTAAGATTTTAAAATTAAAAGGTTTTAATTTTCGAAAAAAAAATTTAATATGATTAAAACCCTATTGATTTTAAATGTTTCAAAACTTTCCCTCAAGTTTTGGGATTTAAATTGTAATTAAAAGTTTAATTTTAAAATGTTAAATTCTAAAACCCTAATTTTTGAAAAAGTTCAGATTGAACCATTATGGTTTTATTAAATTAATTAAGTGTATAATTAAAAGAGAGTTAATAAATCCATAATGATATGGTTTACATCTAATTAAATTAAAAGTGTAATATGTTAAATTAGACCATCTAGTATTTTAAAAGTGTAAAATACACCCTTATACTATATATAACATTAAAAGTCTAATATTATATATATATATATATATATATATATATATATATATATATATATATATATATATATATATAACTTAAATGTTAGTCTTACCATTACCAGACCTCATTCACGAAGTCGATCTATAATGGAGGTATAAGGTTATGGCCTATAAAATGGTCGTTTAATGCGTGTCCACTCTCACCCACTGCTTCCTTGATTGGTGGAGGGTCGTTAGCCGAACGGGTAGGATAGGGCAAACCCTTTCCATTAAAAGTATAATGAATTATGAAGTAGCTAGATGTTTTACAAAATTCCCAATCTTAGTTACATTAGGTCAAAGTGAAGTTGATGCAATTCCATGAAATTACACTTTGTACCCTTACGAAGACGTTAATGGAGTGTGTGTGGTTAACCGACAGACTAAATGGGCTCTTAGCAAAAGTAGCGAAGGGTGACTCGATGTTTGTCATAGTTCGGTGGAGCGTGTGTGGTTAACTGGCACATCGAATAGGTGATTGTAACATTGGGGGGGCACCATGTAAGTTTGCATGGTTATTCACACCCTGTTTTGTGATCCTCGGCGTCCCTGTCAAAAATCGAGGGGCATATCGAGATTTAAACATGCCATTGAAAAGTTCAATGAATCTCAAAGGATCTAGGAGTTTTCAATGCATTTAAAAATTAATCTCTTTTTCGTTTTTCATTGTGGAAAATTAGTGAATCGCCATTCACTTACCTTCAAATGTTCTGCAATTTGGATTACGACATCTCTATTCCAAACTGTAGAATATTGTGTTGGGTCCTAGCCTTAATATATCATTTGGGTGTTTTATTAAGGACTCAATCAATCAACTGACTTGAATTTTATCCCGTTTTGTAGATGTCAAAGTATGACAACTATGGTCTTTCAAAATCCCATGGAACAAGCTTTCCACATGAAGATGATATTCCACGATTCGATTGAGGAACAAGAAATCATGATTCACTTCCTCCACCTCCTCCTATTGTTCTCCCTAACCCACAAGTTCAAAGGCTTGAAAAATTTAAGCTCACTCAAGCTCTGTTGGCGATGAAACATGAAGATGGAAAGTCAGTGTGTACACATGTCTTAGAGATGAAGTCACACATTGATAGGTTAAGAATGTTGGGAGTCATTCTCTGTGAGGAGATGGTTGTTGACTGGGTTCTTCAGTCACTCCCTAAATCATATGATAAGTTCATAAGAGAGTATTATATGATGGATCTTGATGGGACCCTCATTGACCTAACTTACATGCTTATTGTTGCTGAATCAGAAATGATTTTGCAAAGTAATGGAGCATATTTGTCTGGTAATTCAACCAACCATGCTTCTATGGTCGCTCCAGGAGAAGCCACATGTTTCTACTTCCAAGAGAAGGGGCGTTAGATACGAAGCTGCCCAGAGGACCTGAAGAATCTAAGAGATTGGAGAGTCAAGAAATATGGCTCTGCTTCAGGTAAATTCCACTATCTAACTCCATTAAGTTCCTATTTATTGATTCTCAATACATAATGTGATAAGATTACATTTGAATGTTTTGCAGGAACAAGGAAAAGAGAGGAAGCTTGATGGAAAAGCAAGATAACTCTGATCACGAAGAAATGAATCTCTATCGCATGGATTCGAAGATCATATTTTGAGCTTAGAAAGTTATGATAGATTTGGTAGGAATATTTGATTATATACTTTTTCAATAGATTTTGCATTATAAGGATGTGTTTTCCGTTGCTTTTATGAATAAAATAATTTTTTTGGTTTGTCTTATTTATATATCCTTGCAATGAAATCGATGTGAAAAAATTGATGCTTGTGTATTTCTATAAATGGATGTGATTCTTAGTTATGTTATTTATGGAAGTGTCAAATTTCTCTAAGTAATGAAAGATTCTCATCTCCCAAGTTTCAATTGGACATAA